GTCACATGCCTGTTTGCATGTGTACTTCAGTGCAATACGGTCTCTGACCAGCAGGGGTGGCCAGGCTCTTCCAGAGACTGTTTTACGGGTCTGTTGTCAGCCGGGGAAACAGTCCCGGGGCAGGTCTGGCCCCCCATGGGGAGGGAGGGTGGGGCCATCTCTCTGCTCCTGCTCTGGACCCTGGGGTGCTCGGGACCCTGCCTAGGGGTCTGGGAGGCACGCAGCTCCGGGGTTGTGGTCAGTGCTGTGGGTTTGGGCGGGACAAGGTGCGCTGCTGGGATGGGGTCCGCTGAGCCTGGAGTGTTGGGGTCCCAGGCTCTGGAGACTCCCCACCCCCCATCGGAAGACCCAAACCTGGGCTCCCAAGGCTCCCTCCAGGGCCCCGAGCCTCCCGCCTGGCTCCCTCCGGAAACCTGGCTGCCTCCTCATGCCCGACTCTGTCTGCCACCAGGAGACTGAGGCGGCCAGGGCCCCGCTCGGCACTGAAGACGGTGCCCGACACGCACGTGGGTGTCGGCTCCCCACGGGTTCACCGTCTCTCCTGTTGGGGGGGGAACCTGTCCGGGAGCCAAAGGTCGTTTGTTCCATTTCAGCCTCAGGTTTCATCCACCCTCCACCTCCACCCCCACCTCTGCCCAGGGGGTTGGGGTGCAGGAGCCCAGGTTGGTTAAGCCGCCACAAACCTGTTTTCTGCATCTTGAGTTTATTTTAAGTGAGGCCAACCCACTGCCTTCTTGTCCCCCCCTGGCTCCCTGGCCACCAGGTAAGGCCTCTGCCCTGCTGGACCCACGGGCCTCCCAGAGCTTCGCTGTCGCTGCCGCTGCCGGGCCTACAACCTCTGACCCGGGGCCCCAGCCACTTGCTCCTCTCCGGGCCTCCTCAGCCACCCCATCTCCCACCTCAGCATTTGCTCAGGCGGGACCCTCTGCAGAGCCTAGAGCAGTGGTTCTCAACCTTCCTAATGCCGCGACCCTTTAATACAGTTCCTCACGTTGTGGTGACCCCCAACCATAAAATTACTTTCGTTGCTACGTAAAGGCAGAGCTGCTGCCTCACGTGGGCCTTGGCCTGCTGATACGTGCTTTCTGGGTTCACTCCATCTTGAAGCCCTCCAGCAGACAGATCACAATGAGGGCGTGTCCCGTATTTATTTCTTCTACCCTCACCCCACCCACCCACCATCCCTCCACTCCCCCCACTTAGCACACATTTATACACCCAGATGTCCGACTTCTCCATCCATCATTGATCCAGCTACATGCCTGTCCATCCACCCACCCGTGCACACATCTTTGTGCCCACTTGCCCATCCATGGCTGCTTCCAACTCTCCCAGCAAGTGCTCTCCCGCACCAGTCCTGTGCCGGTCCTGTGCTAGGGTCACGGGGCATGCAGAGATTAAAATGAATTAAGTTTACAATGTTCAAGAAAATCTTGGTCTAAGTCTGTATTCACTCCAGGTCACCTTCCAGGTGACTATTTGTTGAGCTCCTCCTATCAGTCAGGTGTTTCAGGCACTGGGCACAGATAGACACTGTTACTCTACCCCCTCCCACTTTACAGACGAAGAAACTGAGGCTCAGAGGTTATAGTGCAGTGGTTCTCAACCTTCTTAATGCTGCGACCCTTTAATACAGTTCCTCATGTTGTGGTGACCCCCAACCATAAAATTATTTTTGTTGCTACTTCATAACTGTAATTTTGCTACTGTTATGAATCGTAATGTAAATATCTGATATGCAGGATGTATTTTCATTGTTACAAATTGAACATAATTAAAGCATAGTGATTAATCACAAAAACAATATGTAATTATATATGTGTTTTCCGATGGTCTTAGGCGACCCCTGTGAAAGGGTCGTTCGACCCCCAAAGGGGTCGCGACCCACAGGTTGAGAACCGCTGGCCTAGGCGCAGGCAGGAAGGATGGGGTTCTGTTGCTGGGGTGGGGCTGGTGGGGAGGGCTGTGGCTTTGTCTCGCCTCAGGGCTGGCACAAGGCGGGACACAGCCGGGTGAGGCGAGCTGGAGGATCGGACACCTGAGTGAGGAAGGGAAGCCCCTGCAGGAGAGAACGTGGGAACCGGTGGCCAGGCTGCACAGGGTGTGTGTGTGTGTGTGTGTGTGTGTGTGTGTGTGGGCACAGCAGGGGCAGATCCGGGCATGGGCTGAACCCCCACCCTCCTGCCCCTGCCAAGGAGAAGCCGAAGTCCAGTCCCAGAGCCAGTGTTTATTAACAAGATGGAACCCAGGGCACTGTGGCCGGGAGGCGAGGGCCTCCGGGAGCCCCGTCCGCCTGCCCAACTGCCCCCCAGAGCTATGTACACCCCTCATCTGAAGTGGGGGCAGGAGGGAGCCCCGGGGAGCCCCTGCTGTCCCCAGGCCTCTGCCACAGCCCCCTCTGCCCGCAGCCCCGCTTGTGCCGGCCCCTCTGCTATTCGCCAGCCCCTGAGCCAGTGGCACAGAACAGCCAAGAGGAGGGAGATGGCCAGGCAGGGAGGGCTGGACGGGCTGCCCCACCCACACAGGGTTCCTCTCCTCATCCCCAATAAATAGAGAATAAATACCTGGGCAGGGGCTGGCCTTGACCGAGTGCCCCTGCCCAGGCAGGGCCGTCCTGTGGTGGCCGCACACCTTCCCTCCCTCCAGTGCGGCTGCCCCCTCCCACCCCGTCCGCGAGCAGTCCTCCATCCACAGCGATGCCGGCGGCTCAGGCACAGCGCACACTGGCGAGGGCGTACAGTCC